AAGAAATATATAAAGAAATGACTTTCCCTTTCATCACAAGAAGTATAATCAATTTAAGTAACTTATCACCTTCTCTAAAAATACAACAAATGATCTCTTATTCCCATATCTCATCTCTTATCTATAAATGAATCCTTAAATCCTTGTTGTTCTGTCCTGGTCAGCAGAAACTCATTAAACATTGTCAAAGATAACAGCATATCTATTTTAATCTGAGAAGATGAACAGAAAAATCTGAACATGTTTAATATTTGTAGAAAGGCAGTGGACAGTGAGGAAATAATGTTAAAGGAAGTAAAAACAGTTATATAGAAGAATGTGCTTGTGCCTACTTTGGTAGTTAGAGTTGAATTGTCAGAAAAAACATATTGAATATAAATTGAAGATAGTAGGAACATGAGTGGCGAGTAATAAAACAAAAAGGCCACCAACATTGACATGGCAAACTGTATACCTTTATACAAACAGAAGAACAAACTCCCTTCTAGCACTGATGATGTTACCCAGTGTGGTAATGAAATGTCTGCAAGAAAACAACCAAGCTCAGAATACACCAAGGACCCCGAGTTCAACCCTGAGCTACAAATGTTCTCCTCTATTGGTAAACCAAAAAGAGCATCAAGAAAAAATGGGTGTTGGACAAATGTGGATCAAGTATACAAGTGACCACTACAAAACAATTTGGAGAGCTTAATTATAGACAGAGAGTGAATGACCATCAAATTGCAAACAAATCTATTAAAAAAGAATGAGTCAAAAAGAAGACCAATTGGTGATCCACTCCTCAAAAAGAGACAGTGAGGAGTTTAAATAACGAAAGGCAAGATATGAAGCGGTGCATAGATGTGCTGGAAGCAAGACATTTTATACAGAAAGATACAGAAAGCATAGTCAGTTATTTTAGCCTAAACTACGTTTATTCTTTTTCTTATCTCATATCTTTTGTTTCCTTGGATTTCTAATTCATGCTTCTTTTTGTTCTTTGCCTACTGTTGTTTACTCTCAAACTAAATGCTGTCATATGACGGCTATGTATCTATGTATGTGCATAAACATGCATAGAATTCTAGAGTTAAATGCTTCATGTTTATAGGCTTTCTTGAATAAAATGGAAGACAAAGAGTAAAAAAAAGAGGTTTTCTTTTCTGATATTGGAAAGTATGATCTGCTCACGGTAGGCATAGTGTATTATTAAGGGAATGGAGGAGAAATACGTTATTTCAAGATACTAAAAAAGTTAGCTCCCTATCTACAGGCATGCATACTCTTGACTGAATATTGTTGCATTACTGACACAGATGAGCAGAGCACAATTCTTGAACTAAAATTCTAACTGATTGTGGTTTGGGCTTGAGGCTTTTTTTTCCCCCAGAGAAAGTTAAGATCACTTAACTTTATGAACAAGCAAAAATGGCAATATAAAGCAAAAGAAACCCCCAATCCTTCCACTAAGCAGAGGATTATAACATAAGGGCGAAACAGTACAAAAGAATGGATATTCCAGATGCTTCTATTTCTGTACTTCTTCCTGCACTATTAGGCATGTAATGAAACACGGGTTTTCTAGGATGTTCAGCAACCCATTCATTAACCGTTTAAGGTCCACTGAGAGTCATGGTCTAAAGGTATACTGAGAAGCATCCTAGTCCTTTCAGAGAAGCAACTGAGTGGATTAGGATGGTATGAAAGTGCCCTCTACTGGTAGGAACTAGATTTAGCTGGTAGGGGAGGAATATCATAAAAACAGATCAAACTAACCATCTAACAACTAATCCAGCATTCTAATTTCAAAGTGGTTGACCAAATACTTCTGGAAGCCACAAGCAGGACAGGAGTGCATTCTCATTTATGTTCCCCAGTAACCAGCGTTGACAGGCATTTTGTCACTGGTATTGAAAGGAATATAAACAGCCTCAGGGTTGGATTATCTCCCATGAATTAGTTCAATTTACCAATGTGATAGTAATGGTTAGAATGGTTGAACTGGGACTCGAAAACGTAGGTTCAAGTCTCCACTCAATCTTGTAGCCCATTGAATGACACTGACCGTAACATACACTCTGTCTAATCTACCTCCCAGCGTAACTGTTTTGAGGATAAAAATGAGAGTGAAGTAAAGAAAAGTAAAGTAAAGTGAAGTGAAGTGAAGTGAAGTAAAAAAAGTGAAGTAAAGAAAAGAAAAGGCAGGATATAAATGAAATAAATCAATAAAGTCACCCAGGTTTGTGGCTACCATTTCATCATCCTACAATGACAGACTTACACTATTGAAAGTTGAGGTGATTAGATTTTGGATCTGCTGAATTGAAAGCATAAGTCATTTTTCCATTCTTCTTGGGCTGCTTTAGATATTTTTCCTCTCACAGAATTGAAGGAGAAAGACATTTGTAAAACAGCCCAATTGGTCGGAGACAAAAAGGAAAAAAAAGCCAAGCTATTTGGCTTTTATGTCTGCAGGCTGAGCTCTGCGTGTCAAGGAGCATGTACAAGAGATTGCAGGTGATTCTACATTTCTGAGACATTCTCTAATTCATCTGTTCTCCCTCCCATCTTCACCCAATATTAAATGTACAGAACTTAGTTCACTAATCCTACTCATTAAATTCAACAGGTCTAACATTGGAGTGTGAGTAAATTATCATGTTGTTAATGAGATTGGAATCAGGGATGGGTCCCTGCCAGTTCTAACCTCTTCTATAGAAGAGGTTCCGATAATCTACAGTGGCATTTAGAACCGGTTCCAGCTCCCTCCCCCCGCCCATCCGCACATCATCAAGATGAAGAGCGAGAGGAGGAATTCTGGGAGTTGAAGTCCACAAGNATATATATATATATATAATCAAAGAGAGATAATACTGTTCCTATATATATATATATCACATGGCTTGTTTGCTTTTGATACTCTTCTATCAATCTACAAGATTGATAGAAGATTGAAAATCAGAATTAGCATGATATATCAACCTATTTATTTTTGACATTTCTAACCTACTGCAATCCAAAGATCCTTGGAAACATTATTTATTCAATAAATATTGTTAAAGACTATAGCTGAAGACTATGTGAAACCAAACCATTTTTACTATAATCTATATAAGACAGTTTCAACATGAATTTCAGTTCTCCATTCTAGTAAACTCTTATTCTAGAAATACTTCTAGCACAAAGTCACATGAATATTTACCTTCATCATCATCATCTTTATCCTTTTCTTCCAGTGTTTGTTTATCTAGTTGGTTTGCTACCTCATCAAGTGTTGCCTCTAACTCTTTTTCAGTCTCTTGTTGTCCTATTTGCAAAATAAACCAATAAGTTAACACGAATGTCAAGCTCCCAAATATCAGTGATCCTACGTCTTTTCCTCAGGTCTATAATTCTTCATATTAAATTAAAAACTACACATTTAGAAAGCACAACTATATATTCAAATCTATTCTTCACTCTTAAATTAAACTCTTCTACTGGAAGTTTAAACCCATTTATACTTTCTATCTCCACAATCATTACTATATTTTATTTTTCTAAACAATGACAATCATACAGCTTAGTGCCATTTTGTAATAGTTAATTCCTTTTATCCCTACTGCTCAACTTATTTAGACTTTCTCTCATCTAAAAGATCAGTCACCTCTTGAAAAATATATTAAATGGATTCTATTAAATACAATTTCTCCTTATCTCTGTAAAGACTGTGCTTAATTTTTTAAATAAAATATCTCTCCCTCAATCCAGGTCACAAGTCCTGTTTTTTTACAGAACAGCGGAAAGATGCCATTGCCGAGACAAGATTTCTTATGCTAGAAATCCTCCTTAATACCGCGCAGCAAATTTCATATATCGCGGTATTCCCACCATTAGTACCAAAATGACTTATGCTCCCCGCCACCACTTTCCGAAAACATTTTTTTTAAATTCTCCAGCAGCAGCAGCGGGTACGGCACCGGGGAATAACGAAGAAAAGAGATCGTCCAGTATCACCCAAACACCTTTCCACGGGAACCCAAGGGCTGCTCCCCGGCCAGTCGTACCCCTGTTGCTCCACTCGAATGCAAACTTAATATGGCCAACACCTTCGTTCTTCTGTCACGCTTCCCAGGTCTCACGCTTCCCCATATTCAGGGCGACTACTCCGCCTTGCTTTCGGAAAAGTTCCTTCTTCGGCCACTTTTCCCTTCCCCGTGGCGGCCGGGCCTCCCCAGCCCAGTTTGCCTTGCCCGGCCCAGGTCCCCTCGTACCGACTGCGCCTCCTTTGCTTTTCTTTTTCTTCTTGCGTTTCTTCTTGGCGTTTTCATCGGCGGCGGCCCCGCCGGCGCTCTCTCTTTCCTCGGGCTCCAAAAGCAGCTCTCCGTTCAGGTGTTTCTCCTCCACCGGGACGGCCTCTTGCTCCACGCCCGCCATGTTGAGCACTCGCCGTCGTTCCAAAGACTGCCACTAACAGAGGCACAGAAGGGGCAGGACATCAGAAAGGGCTGGCGCCGCTCATGCTCCGGGTACTCTATGGTGCAGAAGCGAGGCACGCCGGGAAAGTGGAGCTCTCGGCAACAAGGCGGTTGTAAGGCACGTGCGCCTGGAAGGTTCCGCGAGGATGGCGCTGCCAACTGCTCTGGGGCTCTTCCTGGGAATTTCATTGTTGTTCATATGGAGTTAGGAGGGTTCCGTCTTTCCCCACCGAACTGTAATATGGTTTTTTACTTTTACAGATTTATCTTGCAGGAAAGAACAGAACGAGCGATGAAAGCCAGATACAGTTGGAAATAAGCTCCACTGAACGGAATGGAACTAGTTTCCAGCTAATAAGCACCGACGGAATCACAAGGCCAGTTGGAGCAGCAAAAGTTTTCGTTACCGAGTCTGCTTCAGACGAAGACTTCCATGAAAACTGTAGCCACTTTGTGTGTTTAAAAGTTTACGATTGCAACCTAGGACAAAATAGATTTGGACAATTCAAAGAGATTTTCTTTGGTGTAGTTACCTATAGAACCAGTTTGGTTTAGCAGGTAGGACAGGGCAGTGGTGGGTTTCATTTTTTTTTTAGGACCTATTCTGTAGGTGTGGCCTGTTTTGTGGGAGTGGTTCAGAGGTCATGTGATCATGTAGGCGTGGCCAATTTGAAAAATGCTGAAACTCACTTAACAACACTTTTGTTTAGTAACCAAAATTTTGGACTCAATTGTGGTCATAAGTTCTTTCTTTTTCTTTCTTTCTCTCTCTCTCTTTCCTTCCTTCCTTTTATTTCTTTCTCCCTTTATCTATCCATCTTTCTTTCATCTCCCTCTCCCACTTTCTTTTTCTTTCTTTTTTCTTTCTCTTTCTCTTTCTGTCTTTCTCTCTCTCTCTCTCTCTCTCTCTCTCTCTGTTTCTGTTTGTCTCTCACTCTCTGTGTGGCTCTTTGCCTCTATCTCCCTCCC